AATGTCAGAGTATTGCTTATTAGTAAACATTTGCACTGTTCAAATTTATGTGTCATTTGTTATTTTTTATAAGACCTTGCAGAGGACACTAGTCGGCAAGTGAAATAGCCCAGATAGGAGAAAGGAAAGGCAGTGTGAGGTAGACCAAAGAAATACAAGTAAATATTAGTTGTTTATTTCACATTTGGCATGCGGTAGAGATTATGGCTCCCAAAAAAAGCATTTGGCTCCTAAATATTTTGGGTTTAGGAGCCAATGGCTCCCAAATTTTTTTGTTCTGTCTGGAGCCCTGTAAGTGTCTCTCTCTTTTGCCTCCCACACAATCCCCACTACTATGCAGAAGTCTTAGGCAGTCAAAAAAATGTTTAAAGCTGTTTTTCAGGGAAAAAGTGCAATTTAACATTGGAATACATGCAAATGAACAATAACAAAAAAATTTTTTTTTTCCCTCTCCAAAAAGTTGCTTTTATCTTTAATGACTAGTGCCAGTGCGGTGCCAGTGCGGTGCCAGTGCGGTGCCAGTGCGGTGCCAGGCTTTTCCACTGCAAAAAACTGGCCCTGGACCAGAAAAAACAGCTCCAGCACGGCCCCACTGAAAAGCTGCTCTCAGAACTCAGAACCGCATCAAAATGGGAAATGGGACTAGCTGTTGAGCCCAAATAAGCAAAAAGTAATAGTACTAATTGCGGCATTAAGAATAGTAATAATAGAAGTATTTGTAAAAGCAAATAGCTAATTAGTTTGCATCTCTGTCAAATTAATGGTTAAATCAAAAATGTTACATTCCTGTTGTCTTGAGCATTATTAATGCTAATTGATGTTGCGACTTAAAGCAGACCTGTAGTGGCTCTTAAAGTAAAAAAATAAATGAAAGTAAATTATTTTCTTATGGTCCGGCAGTTCACCTTTTTGGCCTTTTTAATCATGAAATTGGAATATATAAACAATTTAGCATCATATGACAAACAATATTCTATATAGAACAAACAAAACAAAAGCATAGATATATTGGTTAATTGCTGCAAATACTTGGGTGACTTTAGGAGAGTTTCAAATGGCTAAGCTAGTACACTTCGGGAGACATAGTATCATCGTCTAACACTAACATGACGGGCATATAAACACGATTTTCTTTTGCTGCCTAAGACTTTTGCACGGCACTGCATGTGCCAGTGACCCCTCAGCTGTCTGTGTTCCACTTTTGATCACAGATTACATCAGTCTCCTTGTATTAGTGATGTTGCTCCTTGGAGCTGCTGCACGCTCAGCCTTTGCCAGCATAAACTCAGCCTGTGCAGTGCCAGCTGCGGCTGTATTTGGTATGTGGCACAGTGCGTTAGCTGCTGTGCTTGTGATCAGAAGGTCGACAGTGCAAACCCCAAACTCGGCGGAGAGATTCACCACTGGGTCCTTGAACACAGCCCTTAACCCCCAACTATTCTAGGTTTTTTTTTTTCTTTTTAATAGCACAAGGAGGTTTTAAATAGAAACGTCTGCTGAATTAATAAAATGTAAATAAATGCAGTGTCCACCCTCATCTACCTGTGTGTTTCAGAGTCTCACCAGAGGGGGGGCAGCCAAGCCAGGACCAGCTCTGCAGGGGCCCTGGGTGACGAGCTGGACACGACTCACATGGAGATGCTGACGAGGATCTGCAGGACACACCAGCGGTGAGGGGAGGTCCCGGGCTGGTCGACCGTGCGACTTGGGCGTGCATCAGCCCAGTGCCAAGGCTGCACTGCCATTCACATTTACAGTGCCAAGGCTGCACTGCCATTCACATTTACATGCATTTCATTCAACAGATGCTCTTGTTCAAAGTGTTTTCAAGTGAGGCAAATAGCACATTGCAAACATACATGCTGTGGTGGAGTCGCCTGGGCATGAGTGCAGCCAGGCTGAGCTCCCACTGAATGCCCAGGTATGAGTTTAAGTGGCACTGGAGCAGCAGCTACGCCTTGTCTTACAAATAAAGCAAGAATTTAATAAGACAACTATTCAGTGAGCCGAAGGTGCAGCATTGAGAGCATTCAGTGGACATGGAATGGTGTCAGACTAGTGGACGAATTCCTAGTCGAGTTCATTTGTATCCTCAGTGATGCACCCAGCAATTTACAGCAATACAGATGTTTAGCATCCAAGACTCTAAAGTTTATGAGGTAACACTTTACTTCATGGGGCACAAATAATATAGTATTATGTTATTACTGGTGTATTAATTAACCAAAAACTAGGTATTGGTAACATAGTTCTCATATTAATTCATCATTAATGAATCGTGATGCCTGTTTTATCCCAAGCAGTTACTATATTTGTTACTGTATCTGTTAATTTTAACTTGTCTGGACTCTTGAAGGAACTACTGAAGGAACTTTCTGAAGGAACAAGTAATGAATAACACAAGTGAAATACTGATCTCGTGTTTGTTCATCATTAATTAATTGTGATGCATCTTTTATCTCAACTAGACTATATTTGTTTCTGAAGTACAAATCATGAAGAAATCATTAGTACCTGAATTATTACTAAGTGTTTGTGCCCCGTCATGTAAAATGTTACCGCTTGAGGTGCACTCCTGTAAATACAGTGCTGTGTGTCAGTTTGCATCTCCCCCCTTGTTCATGCGGCCTTCTTCCAGGTACCTCTGTTTCTTACTGTAGTCCCAAAATTTACTAAAATGCTTATTGTGTGTGTGTGTGTGTGTCCTGTAAGTGAATCCTGGCATCTGTCCAAGGTGATATTCTGGATAAGCTGATGATGGATGGATGGATGGATGGACGGACGGACGGACGGACGGACGATGTAAATAAAACATTAAAAACGATAAATGCATGTTCGAGAATTTAAAGTTTTGTCCCTTTATACAGTTGTGATTATGCAATTTCAGTTCAGCATTTAGAAATCTAGGATTAAAGCAGTCTTTCTTCTGGCTAAGATGACTTTTTCCATCATCCTGGCCATGATTACGTGTTCCATGATTGCAGTGTATTCATTACAGCAATTTGGCCAGTAGGCACACAGTTGAAATCCTAGCTTGTAAAATCTTAAACTCTTCCAAACCCCTTAGGCATTTGTCCTGGAAACTCAGAAGCGACAGTTGCTCTCACCTGCTTTTTGAGGGCGGTCCCTTAGTCACGCATCCCTGCTACTCGGCTGGGACAGACCTACATGCAGACACGCTGGAGTTCTCCCGGTCCCTTGCCCCGTTTGGGGTTGACGTCCTGCTGGCCAGTGTGGCGATCGCGTCAGGGACCCGTGATGGTTTAAGCATATGGCTCTGTTGCTGGGCTCTGGGCAACTTGAGACCAGCACTAGAGTTTCAGCATGGGAAATGTGCCGCGCTAATATTAGACTCCCAGCGAGCGAGCCGACCTTCGCAGTATGTCTCTTCGCATGTGCCGCTCGAGCAGAGCGAACCAGGAACCTGGCAGGCTCCTGCTGCCGTTGCAATTAACATCTTTCTGCTTCTCTTGTTTGATTTTCCCCTTCTTGCGCAGATCTACGCTCCGAGACAAGAAGGTATGAGAAGAGCCAGGTCTGGCCCCCGTCTACCATCTGGGGACCCGGTGCACTACAGATGGATGGGTGTCGGAACGCACCTGCGTGTGAGGGTGAGGGTGACGCTGGCACATCCTAAACATATGGCCGCTCGTTCATGTCTCCTCAGAGCATAACTGTGGACAAAGCTCTACGGGACAGCCTGATCTCCAGGAAGCCAACTGTGGAGAGGAAGCTGAACACGGTGCCACTTTCATGCTGCACAGGTGAGTGGAGACCAGCCTGGGCCGTCTCGCTTTCGCAATCCTTCCGGAACGTCTCGAGGTTTTGGGCGACTTATTGAATGTGTCTCTGCGTGACACGTCAGTAGTGAACATCGTGAACATCGTGATGCCGTTCCCCAGTTGCTGATGTTACGAGTCTAGTTTATGGTCATCTCATCACGTCCCGTCTTTTGTGCATATTTTGTTTAGAAGAAGAGATGAAGGATTTTAGAAAGTTGTGTGTAAAGTAGTTGATTTGCTTTTAAAGCAGAGGGATTTTTGCAGCAGACTTTTGTTTTTGGCCTGAATCATGGTAAAGCACCTGTTTTATTGGGTAGCGAGTTGCCTTCAAGAAACTCGTGTCAATTTTTTGCTGCTGTTGCTGCTGGGCATGTTTTGCACGTGAACAGAATCACCTCCCCCTCCACGAAACTCGGTTCCTGGGCCGTCCCGTGATCTCTTTCAGTTCCTGGGCCGTCCCGTGATCTCATTCGGTTCCTGGGCCGTCCCGTGATCTCTTTCGGTTCCTGGGCCGTCCCGTGATCTCATTCGGTTCCTGGGCCGTCCCGTGATCTCTTTCGGTTCC